GATCAGCATCTTTAATGTTTTGAATCATTTTGTCGATTCGAGGATCGTCTTTTCGGATTCCGCTTTCAAGCAAAGCCTGAAAGAAGAGATAAAGGATGTTTAAAGGACGCAGTTGGGAAAAAGGGGGTACCTTGAAAAATCGTGGAAGATAGACTTTTCCTGTCGTCTCATCCTTGTAAAGATCGAAGAGCAGCTCTTGCTGATGATTTCCACACATATCGTACGACATCGAACGACACACTTTTACATCACTTATCACAGTGTTCACTCGGTACGTTTTATTGAATAGACAGTAGGTCTGGGGCATACCAAGTGCACTAACATAAGTTTGTTTTATGTTCTATGTAAATTTCTAAATTTCTCGGTAGCAGAATGCTTACACTTTTGAATTTTGAATTTCTAATTTGTTTAAATTTTCAAACTTTAAAGGTGGGGGGACATGAAAAAAATAATGTTCTCGAAATTTCGTTTAAATATGCCTCTCGAGGAGTTGAACGTGTGGGACGAGGATTGAGGGTGCGGCGCCGCTACCGACTGAGTTACACGGGCAAAGAGAAAGCGGTCGCCCGATTGCATACATAAAGGCGAGGACGACAGCTGTACGCAGAGTGACATTAAGCGTTGTACACCGTCACGGTAGAATGCATACTCTGGCCCCAAAAATCCCCCGTAAAACTCCTGTCCCCCCACCTTTAACTTTCAAACCTCAAAAATGTCCGACTTTTCTGGAAAATAGTACAAAAATGGACGAAAGTCAAAATAGAAAATCCGGCAAATAAAAATATTTTAGGTTACTGTAGTTGTCGCTGTGAAACCTTTGGCCGCGGCCACCTGGGTTCCTCTTCCACAGCTCCGATTTTTTCCTGAATTTCTACTTTCTCATTTTTGAAACTCTCACTGAAAAATTACAAAAAAAATCAAAAATTCAATAGTCCTACTCGATACTCGGAACTTAGAAAAAACTGTTCCAGGCTTTTTGGAAGTTTCGAAATCGTATGAACGCCTTTTGGATTTACCATCTTTTGAAGTTCCCAGGACAAATCCAAGACCTAGTACTTCGAATTTCTCTTTGATCCCATTTTCCCACTTTTTTTTCAGAAAAACCCCACAATCCACTAATCAACGCTGGTGCGATCGTCGTTGCTTCGCTGCTCAAAAACAAGACTCCACTGGCAGATCGCTTCGATTTTGTATGAACACTGGTGGATCTTTCTCATCAAGAATATCTTTTCAGATGATCCACGCGTGCCGGAAATTCGTCGGAAGTGGATACATTGGATTCAACAACTCGGTATTTTTGTCTGAAAGAGAAACGGCTGATCGAAATTATGCTCTATCGTACTACATGAGGGAACACAACGTCTTTCCGAAAGATTTGAATCTCCAAGACACTCTTGATCTCTACTTCCAAATTTGTTCCATCGAGACCAACTGTGATTCATTGGCTGTAATGGCTGCCACGTTGGCGAATGGTGGAGTGAATCCGATGAATGGTGAACGGGTTGTGAATAATCGGTAAGAGAGAGGATTACTGTAGTACTGTAGTAACCTTGATATTCCAGTGCGTGCCGAGACACACTTTCTCTGATGTACTCATGTGGAATGTACGATTGGTCGGGTCAGTTTGCATTCCATGTTGGTCTCCCTGCAAAGTCTGGAGTATCTGGAGATATGATAATTGTGATACCAAATGTGATGGGCATTGCATTGTACAGTCCACGACTAGACAAATTGGGAAATACGGTTAGAGGAGTGAAGTTTGCGGAGCAGTTGGTACAGAAGTATAATTTCCACAATTATGATAGTTTGGTGAGTTGTGATGAGATATTGTTGCTGACGACTTCAAAGATTGATTTTTAGATTTACTCGGACAACAAAAAGATTGATCCCCGTCGGCAACTGAAAGACGATCATGATGGTCAGAATAGATTTATGTATGCCACAAAATTGGGAGACATTGCTGCAATCAAACGATTCCTACTGATGGGACACGATATTCATTGCAAAGATTACGATAACAGAACAGTTTTACACGTGGCAGCTGCCGAAGGAGACGTCGTTACATTGGAATACGTTCTGAGCAAATGGCAGGAAGATCCTGATCCACTTGATAGATACGATCGAACTCCTTTGGATGATGCGAAACATTTTAACCACACGGCGTGTATCAAACTTCTCGAAGAGGCAATTACTGTTTTCAATCTCAAGCAACAGGATGATTAGGGTTTATTTATTAGAACTAGATCTATTCAATTTTACAATAAAATATCTTAAAAGTCCATTAAATTCTTCGAAATTAAAAATTCCAATGCACAAAGTTAGGCTCTTTATGACAAGGGGGGGGGCATGAGAAAAGGGGGAGCCGGTGGGAAAAGGGGGGGGGGGCAAGACAAAAGGGGGGGGGCCCAAGTGTAAAAATGTGGACTTAGTTAAAAAATACCGTTTTTTCAAGTTTCACGGTTGTTTCCATCAAAATTTCGTGCTTGGAACGTTTTCCAAAATTTTTTGAAATTTTCAGTTTATATCATTTTTTGTTCATTTTTGACATTTTTAATGTTACTAAGCCTTAATCAAGTTAACATTAACTGAATAACTTAAATTACACAGTTACAATGGCAAAATTGTGTTTTTCATGCAAAAAACTGACCTAAACTGAAAATTTTCAAAGTGATGAATTTTTGTGGAAACAAGCGCAAAGTATTAAATTTTAAGAGAAACATCCGAAAAACTTGAAAAAATTGATAATTCTTTACTTAGTCCACCTTTTTACCTATGGGCCCCCATTTTGTCTTGGGCCCCCTATTCTCATGCCCCCCCCCCTTGTCATAAAGAACCCAAAGTTTCTAATATTAGGTTGGCGGGAAAGTCTTTGTCACTTTTTCAATAGTTTATTTCTCAAAGAAAAAATAACCGAATAATTAATTATATTGTCCATCATTATCAACAACATGTCTCCAACGTTCCCTCAATTTATGGATTCCATTGCGGTAGAATCCAGCCGGGCGTGAGGCAAAGTATTGTTTGAGTGCCGCTTCGACCGCTCCACGGGAATTGAAGCTTCTTCCTTCGAAGGCACGTGTCATATCGCCAAATAACCAATAGTCGGAAGGAGCAAGATCAGGAGAATACGGGGGGTGAGGGAGAACATTCCATCCATATCCCATCAGCTCCTGCTTCACTTGTTTCGAAACATGTGGGCGAGCGTTATCATGTTGATAGTACACTTTCTTGTCTTTCAGGGCCGAACGGTCGACTGCTTTCTTGAGGTTTCGTAGTTGAGTAGTGTAGAGGTCTCCAGTTATTGTTTTGCCCTCGGGCAGAAGTTCCCAGTAGATGGGGCCGTCCACTCCCCACCACACAGAGAGCATAACTTTTTTCGGATGAAGGTCGGGTTTGGGGACATCCAGTGGGCTCTCTCCTTCTCCAACCCACTGGGATTTCCTGTGGTGATTATCGTAGAAGACCCACTTCTCATCTCCGGTTATTAGCCGGTCCAGCCATCGATCGCCCGCGTGGAGAGTGAGAAGAGTAATCGAATCGTCGACTCGGCGGTCAAGGTTGGCTTGAGTCAGGTGATGAGGTATGAATCGACCAAAAAGTTTTCTCATTCCAAGAGACTTCAAACCTTCAAGGACTGTGCTATGGTGAACTCCGAATGTGACAGCTAGTTCACGGCTAGATTGAAATGGATCCGATTGCAATGCGTGCTTCAGCTTGTCCAAATCCAACTCACGGGGTCTCCCAGAGCGATCCTTTTCATCGAGCGAGAAGTCATCTTTTTCGAAACGATGGAACCAATTGCGAATAGTATTGTAGTGAGGGGCATGTGTGTTGTACACATTCTTCAAGAAAGTTTCCGAATCCTTCATCGTGGTGTGAGATAGGAAGAGGTAAATCAAAACATGTCTGATGTGAATAGCAGTGGGAACAAACATATCGTTTCAATTACAGATGAGGAGCAGGGAAGGAGATGGGGACTTGTTTATATGGAAGGTTCTTATCACCTTGTTATTCACTAAAGTCGATATCATACACAGCCTCCATATACGAGAACAGTGATTAAACAAACAGAGTGACAAAGACTTTCCCGCCAACCTAATAAATTGAAACTTGTTAAACGCACTTCCATTTTCAGTCAAAGGAGAGGAGCAAGTCAGGGGAAGATCCATTCTCGAACCGGTTTTAACTCTGGAAATTACCTAGTAGCACTCAAAACTTGGTTTCGGGTGAATTTTAAATTGGTGCACGGGGGGAAAGTGATTAGCTTCTTTGAAAATGTGCTCTGGTAATCGGTTTTCAATCAGATTCTGAAAACGCGTATCTCCAGATTTGGATATTGTCTGATCATATTTGAGAGAAGCTAATTGAAAATCCAGCCGATACATCCGTAACTCAGCTTAAAATTGTTTAAGACGCGTTCTCTGTAGAACTTAACTTCAGGCCTATTACCCATTGTACAGAAAAATTCAAACTAGTTTTTTTCTGGTTGATTTTTAATATATTGCATTTTTATGGACTTCTAAGGTATGTGAGATATAGTTTGACTCGACTTGTCCCACACCTGCAAAAATATGGTCGTGGAGTGTCTAAAAAAAATTTTTTTTAAGTGAAATAATAATTAGGTCTTGATGTAGAACGTTTTACGGCACTATTTTGAACATTTTTTGTATTGGCACTATGCTAAAATTCTTCCATCTTACGAGGAAAAATTTCAATTTTTTGGACCAAAAAATGACCGTCCTGAAAAAAAAGTTCATTATTTTATAAAATTAAACATAAAATTCAGATCCTACATTAAAAAATACATTAGAAACTGTTTTGAAATTAAAGATAAATCTGAGCACCCTATGAGTTTTAGGCCAAAATGTGCCCGAAAATGAGGTTTCGCCATGTGGGGGAGTACATGGCAACAAAAATTCGACCAAAATCGACCCTCTCCGATTTGGTTCAAATTTCTACCAGATGTAGTA